CGAACTCTGGGCCTTATGTATGCTAAGCAAATGCTCTACCAGAGCTACATTCCTAGTCTCCAAAAATCACCCCCGCCACCGTTTCTCCTTCCTCTAATTTTTTTTTTTTGTCTTTTGGAGACAAGGTCTCCCTGTAGCCCTAGCTGGCCTGGAACTCACTCTGTAGACAGGCTGGCCTTGAACTCACAGAGATCCACCTGCCTCTGCCTCCTGAGTGCTGGGATCAAAGGTGTGTGACACCACACCCCCAGCTCCTTCTTTTAGTTTTTAAAGACAGGGTCTCATGCATCCCAGGCTGGACTCAAACTGAAGATGATCTTGAACTCTTGATCTTCCAGCTCCACCTCCCAAATCTGGGGATTATAAATATTTATCACTACACCTGGCTCAACAATTCTATTCTTTGTCTGGGAAAGGGTCTTACTTTGTAAGCCTGTAATCCTGAAACTTACTATGTAACACAGGCTGGACTATAAACTTGCAACTATCCTCCTGCCTCAGCCTCCAAAGTTCTGGGAAATGTCAATTCAAGGGAAAATGTGACAATTAACATATGGTCATATTTTGGCCAAAGATTTTTGGTCTTTTTGAGACAGGGTCTCCCTGTAGCCCTAGCTGGCCTGGAACTCACTATGTAGACCAGGCTGGCCTTGAACTCACAGAGATCGCCAGCTTCTGCCTCCTGCTGGGAATAAAGGTGTGCGCCACCATGCCCGGCTATAATGGAAGGATTTATCTGCCTCCTATTTGATGAAATTCAGAGCTAAGATAGCTGAAGAAATAAACATGGGTGACTTGGAACTCCCTAGAGGCATAGTGGAGGAATCCACACCAACTCCACCATAACTGGAAAGATCTGGCTCACCATCTTGTTCACATTTTGATGCTTACTCTGGGCACAGATGCTGAAAATGTCTGGATAAACAGCAGTGTGTCTTCCTCTGCAAGATAGAACAATCCAGGTGTAATGTGTGACATGCAATGGGGCCTTTCTTATCTCCCTTATTAGATATATTGGGTTGTTTAGGCAACATTTGTGTCCTTTACCATCTCTGGCCTATGAGCCATGCTTTGTACCAACTTTTTATCCAGAGGATAAAAAGCTCACCAAGAAAAGAAGTAGATGAGTTTGGATGGAGGAAGCGCTTTGTCAGCCAGAACAAAGGAAGTCAAGCAGAGCTCCTCTCAGAGGCTCTTGCTTTGCATCCACACAGTATGCACTTTCATCAGCTCCTAGCTCCATGGTTGAAGTTGGGTTCATGATTTAGACAGTACCGTCTGTATAAATTTCACTTAGAGCTTCTACTGAAATGCTGTGGCTACCCAAGTCCAAATATAGTTGTTTTGTTTTTTGGTTTTTTTTGGTCTTTTTGAGACACGTTCTCCTTGTAGCCCCAGCTGACCTGGAACTCGCTATGTAGACTCGGCTGGCCTCAAGCTCTCCACCTGCCTCTGCCTCCTCAGTGCTGGGATTAAAGGCAGGTGCCACTGCACCTGGCTGTTTTGTCTTAAGACCAACAGAAATAACAATATTCCTGTTATTTGTGCAGTCCATAGCCATCATTTCACTTTTCTTAAACAGTCTAGAAAATTTCCACCTAGAGGCTGGTGAGATGACTCAGCAGGTACAAGTGTTTGCCACCAAACCTGACCACCTGAGTTTGATCCCTGGAGCCCACACAGTGGAAGAAGAGAGGCAGCTATCCTCAGAAATCCACCTGTGTAGTGAGGCATACTCCTCCTTACCCCCTCCTACAAAATAAATAAACAGAAACTTAAAAATTTTCCACCCTAAATTCCTAAAAGATTTAAAGAGGGTTTGGGAAACAATATAAAGAATGAACAAAATGACTTCTCTGCAAACAGTTCAAAACAAAATCTATTCAAGTATCAGAACACATCTTCAAAGTCACTGAAGTGACTCCTTTCTGCACCCAATTATGCGTCAGCAGGAGCTGACACAGGAGTTCACCCAAATTAACTTCATCTTCTGCACTTCAGGTAGCTCCTGATAATCACAGGGTAAATGATGAGAAACACATTTTGGGTGAAGAGGAAACTAGTTACACATAGTACTACCTGTAATTATTTTCAACACATTGGGTCAAATAATAACAACCACTTGTAAAATATATGGAAAAGAAGTTAATGCTAACCACTTAAGGAAAAACAAAAAAGAAATTGATGGTAAAGGAGGAAAAAGAACCCTGGCTTTAGTGGTCAGTGCTCTATTCCAAAAACTTCTGTTCTTGTAAACAAGCACAGGTCCAGTCAGCCCCACAGTTTTCTCCCTAAATCCCTGTGCCTACAAAGTAGAACCGGGGTTGGGCTTAAACTCTACACATAGCTGAGAATGACCTTGACTTCCTTCCTGATTCTCCTGCCTCCACGTCCCCAGCTGGGGTTATAGCCATGCACCATGCCCAGGTTCAGGTTCATTCCTGATTTTCTTTTTTCCCTCTTTTTTTTTTTTAGTATTTTTGAGACAGGGTCTCCCTGTAGCCCCAACTGGCCTAGAACTTGCTATGTAGACTAGGCTAGCCTCGAACTCACAGAGATCCACCTACTTCTGCCTCCTCTGAGTGCTGGGATTAAAGGTGTGCACCTCCATGCCCGGCTCCTGATTCTTTTTTAAAATCTGTTTTTAGATTTATTTACTAATTTTTTTTTTTTTTGGTCTTTTTGAGACAGGGTCTCCCTGTAGCCCAGCTAGCCTGGAACTCACTATGTAGACCAGGTTGGCCTTGAACTCACAGAGATCCTCCTGCCTCTGCCTCCCAAGTGCTGGATTAAAGGCATGTACTACCACACCTGGCTTTAGATTTATTTTTAATTATGTGTCTCTGTGTATGTGTGGGTATGGGCACCAGACTGGAGGAGCCTTCAGAGGTGGAATTCCAGACAGGTATGAGGTTGTGAGTCAGTTAACATGGATGCTGAGAACTAAACTCACCCAGGTCCTTTGGAAGAGCAGCAAGCACTTTTAACACTGAAAGCACTGAGCCATCTCTCTAGCTCCCCCTATTTTTATTTATTTATTTATTTTAAAAAATTTATTTTTTATGTGTGAGTTGTATTGCCTGCATGTATGTGAGTGCACCCATGTAGTGCAATGCCACGGAGGTCAGAAGAGGTGCAAAGCTGCGGAGGTCAGAAGAATTCCCCTGGAACTAGAGTTAAGGACGACAGTTCGTAGCCACCATGTGGGTGCTGGGAATCGAACCCGGGTCCTCTGCAAGAGCAGTCAGTGCTCTTAACCGCTGAGCCATCTCTCTAGGCCCCCCCTCCATTTTTTTTAAAAGAGGGTTTTTGCCTTATGGTTTCAGGGGTTTCATTCCATTACCGTGAGGAGGGTGAGGTGGAGCAGAGTAGTTCACACAGTTAGGTCAGGGAAAGGGGATGGGGAGGGGATGAGGAGAAAGAACTTCTTATCTGATTTGTTTGGAAAGTTCCTTTGAGCCAAGGTTTGTCAGAACCTGCCACAATTTCATGGTTTTTCCTCTCAATAATTCAGTGTTCCTAATGAACAATTTCATTGGTAGGTGGCTCCCACAGACCTTCAGATATGAGGAGCTGTGGAGTTTTGGACATTCGGCTTATTATATCAGAGAACAAGCCTAGTGGTGGTGGGCCAGAGAAAAGTAGGTAAGGCAGCTCTGAAGACCAGCAGTCCACACAATTGCGCTTTCATTTCAGAAACAGAAAGATGTCTAATTCTAAAATGTGAAGGGACATTTTAAAATTCATAGACACAGGGTAACTATATTAACGCCCCCTTCTCCTCTCTCCCAAACCAAACAAATCATATGAAGCTGATTGGGGGGGGGGGTTTACATGTTCGAAATGATGACTAAATAGGTTAGAACCAGGTTGTCTTACAGCCTTAGGAAATTTAAATTTTTTGATTTATTTTTGTGCGTGTGTTTTGCCTGCATGTTAAGTGCACCCAGAGGGCGTTGGTGCTCTGGAACTGGGGTTACAGATCGCCACCATGTGATGGGAACCAACCCAGGTCCTCTGCAAGAGCAGCCAGTAGTACTCTTAACCCTTGAGTCATCTCTCCAGCCCCCTTAAGAAACTTTTTGATCTATGCAATTCCTTTCAGCTGCTCATTTTCTGGTTGTTTTAGAGGCTTTGGACACTAGGTTAATTTTGTTTCTCTCTGGACTTAATGACTTAGTTTCCTTACAGATTGCAGCATGATGTGTGTTGAGTGTAATTATAATACTGCCACTTTATAAATAAAATCTTAAAAAGAGCAGAAGCTTCCTTTCACCAGTTTTATAGCCTCATAATAAACTTCCTGGACTGGAGTCTTCCTTGAGTTTCTCACTGCTCAAGGAACCTCATCACTAACACAGTTACCTTTACAGAAATGCTGTGAGGATTAAAACGAAAAAATAAAATTGAGGCTGGGCCTGGTGGCAGGATATAATCCCAACACTTGAGGCAGTCTACATCGGGAACTGGAGACCTAGTGAGACCCCGTCCAAAAATGTTTAGCACAAAATCTGGCACACAGTAAACGGCTTTTTTTTCTTTTTTGCCTGCTACTCTCCCGCTCTCGTCAGCCGCAAAACAAGACTTCAAATGTAAAGGCTGCGGCCAAAAGCATACAACTCTAAAGACTCCTCAAGCCCATGAAAATCCCAAACTCGCCTCGGTTCTCTTGCGCGCGTACTTTCATTCCTAGGACAGCCGAGAAACACAGCACCGGCCAGTCCGCAACGTTTCCCGGGACCCAACAGAGCAGGGCGCGCCCACGACCACGTGGGGCTGAGCCGCGAGCGCCGGCCCCGCCCTGCGGCCCCGCCCACCTCCGGCTGCTCTGGGCTCGGCGCTCAGAGTTACCGAAACCTGGTCTCCCTCTAAGCCGCCACACCTCTGCGGGGACCGGAAGAGGAGGTGCCCGGCTGCCCCGACTTCGGAGGGGCGGGTGCACGCAGCCTCCCTCGGCTCCACGGCGGTGGGGGAGGCTCAGCGTCCCGGTCGCCATGATAACAGGCCACACCCCGGCCATCCCGGCCCGTGTCCGCCTAGTACGCAGACGCGCGCACCGTTCCGCGCAGGAGCAGTGCGGCTTCGAGCCCGCCAGCCAGTGTCTCCGGCGCCAGCTACGCCGCTGTCGCTGTCACTATGGCCCATTACAAAGTGAGGGGGGCGCGGCGAAGCTCGGGGAGTGCGGGCGGCCGGGGAGTCTGGGCGCGCGCAGGGTTTGGGGGCGGCGGCGGGGCGGCCGGACTCCGGCGCCCTCTTCCTGCTCCGCCCGGGACTCGGGTACCTGACCCGCCGTGTCTCCTCAGGCCGCGGACTCGAAGCGCGAACAGTTCCGGAGGTACTTGGAGAAGTCAGGAGTGCTGGACACGCTGACGAAAGGTGAGCCGGGGAGGGCGGCGGGCGAGCGGGCGGGGCCCGTTGGGGTCCGGCCACCAGGGCCCGCGGCTGGTGCGCACGCTGGTCCCGGACGCCGTCTCGCCCCCACGGCCGCCCTCAGTCCGCACTGAAACTCCTGCAGCTGTTGCAAAGTCTCTCCAACTTCCGTTGTTTTCCCCCGCGAGCAGCCGCAGTGGACGTGTTTGTAGAAAGACCCGAAGCTCCTAATTCCTCCCGCCTTAACAGTTTGCGGGATCTTGAGTACGTTCCTCCGGACAAAGGGCAACTAGGAAAATAACCCGACTTGAAAATGGATTATTAAAGCCTGTCTAGTCCCCAGCTGGCGGTTCACAGACAATTTGGCTGTGGCTTTTCCACTCTCTTTTAAGTCTGTAGTTATTCCTATTTTGTGTATCTCTTATAATTAAGGGAAAATTACGATTTGAAGAGCTTGAGGGCAACATAAAAACGGTTATACTTTTTATATATGTATTTTTATAAATTTTATTTTTACTTTATGTGTATGCGTGTATTGCCTGCATGTAGGTAAGTGCACCCGTGTCGTGCAGTGCCCACGGAGGTCAGAAGAGGCTGTCGGATCCCCTGGAACTGGAGTTAGCTGCCATGTGGGTGCTGGGATTCGAAGCCGGGTCTTCTGCAAGAACCACCAGTACCCTTAATCGCTGAGCCATCTCTCCAGCCTTCTACTGTTTGTTTTTAAGGTGTTAAACTGTATCCCTTCTTTTTGGTGTAAGGTGTAAGAGTACGGTGATTGAAACAGATGGATTCCAGCACAGAATACTGATAAATTAGCGCAACAGTATTTTGAATGCCTGCTACCTGTTACTCAACCCATCATTGCCTGGGGTTTTCAAGAGAGTAGAATGGGATCGCTGGCAGAGATTAAGACCTTGGTCCATTTGAGAATGAGAAGTGTCTGGGAAATAATTTCTATCTGCTCTTTGGAGAAAGCGGTTAGGGGAAAATTCTGGGAGAACTTAGGAGAAAGCGGGTCTCTTAAATGTGCATAGATGGGCTGGCAAATTTAGATTACTTCTGTCTCTGGATCCAGACACTAATTTCCCTACATCTTTGCAAATGTCAGCAAATACTAAGGACCGACTCATAGCACTATGCTATGTGGCCCCTGGAAGTGTCACAGATGCTTCGAATTCTGGCAGAAAACCCTCATGTTTGTTTCTTTCTTGTGACTTTTTTTTTCTAGTGTGCATTCTAGGCATCAGGGATACAGCAGTGAAAACACTCCTGCTCTCATGAGCTTGTATCCTTGTTAGGGAGACAGACATTAAAGAAAGTCAACTAGTGATGAACATGACTAAAACCATAGCAAGACTAGGGGATGGGGATGTGTGACATTTTACATAGGGTGGGAGGGAAGGCCTTTGAGCAGAATCTGTATAAAACAGTGTAGGACATCTAGAGTTCCAAGAAATAAGTGGTAAGCATCCTTAGTCTGAAATTTACTGAGCACTGAAAGGATGCCACAGTGGAAAATTCCATACCTGACTGCATGTAGTGGATGTGAAAATGCAGGAGCCTTGAAAATGTTACACAAAATTAATCTTCATGTTACGTGTATAAGGTGTTACATGGAATGTAAGTGAATTTCCTGTTTAGCCTTGGATTCCATGCCCAAGACATCTTGTGTATATGCAAATACTACAAAATCTGGAGAAAAACACTGAAATATTTCCTGTCCCAAGCATTCTGGCTAAAGGGCACTGGGGGTGTGTAAGGAAGTGGGGAGAGGGAGAGTTGAGTGTAGCCAGTGAAAGAATGCTAAAAGGCAGACCCGCGATGAGATGACTGAATACAGAGGTGCAGAGTCTTGCAGCTATACAAGACTTTCTTCATGAGATACTAGAAACCCCTGTAGTAGTCTTTTCCCTTACAGGCATCCACTGGAATCTGCCCCTTTTAGATTCCTAGTCTCCTAAAATAACATCAGACAACATAGTATGTATTGAGATGATTTAAAATTTTATTTTTCAGGTTCAAACAGTTGATTTACATAAATTTATATATATTTTTAATCCAGCTATTTCCAAGAGAATTTTAAACTGTTCACAACATTAAAACACTGTAAGAAGCCAGTGGTGGTGACTCATTCTTAGTGCTCTGGTGGTCTGGGTAGAAAGATCAAGCAGTCAAGGCTTGCTTGGGGTCTATAGTGAGACCTTTTCTCAAAAAAGCAAACGAGCTAGGAGTGAAGGCTGGAGAGATGGCCCCGTGGTTGAGACCAGTTGTTACACAACCATGAGGTCCTGAATTTGGATACTAGCACCCATGTAAGAAGCCGGCTGTGGTCTCCTGTACACTTGTAATCCCAGCACTGTGGGGGCAGACCATCACTGGGGCTTGCTGCCAGCCTAGCCAAAAAAATCAAGCTCCAAGTTCAGGGAGAGAGACCTTGCCTCAAAGGTCTAAGACACACACACACACACAAAAGCTAGCTAGTGTAAATGTACTTGGTAGGTTGGCTGAAGCAGGACTGTGAAGTTTGAGGCCAGCCTGGGCTACAGAGTGAGATCCTGTCTAAAAACAAACACTAAGATAAATCACTTAGAAGCAGCATTTTAGTTGTTTTGAGTAAAGTATCAACATTTAAAAATTCTGGCTGCTAGGGCCCTCCCTACAAGATGGCTCAGCAGGTAAAGGTGCTTGCCATCAAACCTGATGATCTGAGTTTGGTTCTCAGAACTTACATGGTAAAAGGAGAGTACCAGCTCCCACAATTTGCCCTCTGACTGCCACGTGTGCACCCAAATATGCACACACCCCCATAAGTGTAATAAGCATAATTCTAAGGAGTTAACATAATTCTAAGGGAATATGATTAGGTTGAATACTTCAGATAAAATACATTCATCCATAGGAGAGCATAAGAAACTTAACTCATTTTGCATTATCAACCACTGATAGAAATTTGGAAGCTGAGGAAATGGGAGTGGGACACAATGGGCACCTTACACAGTTAAGATTCAATAGAGATAGTAGGAATAAGGAAGAAACTGGTTTAAACGGGTTTTTTAAGGTAATAAACAAGGATAGAGTATTGCAGCAGATATTAGGGCAGAAGGTGATGGGAGGATAGCAATGATGGAAATGGTGTCAATTTCTCAAATTTTGTGTTGTTTTTAAAAACGATTTTTCTTTATGCATGTGTGTGAGTACATGCCACATGTGTGCAGCTGCCTGCACAGGCCAGAAGAGGGCATTGGATCCTCTGGAGCTGGAGCTCAGGCAGTTGTAAGCCATCCAACATGGGTGCTGGGAACCGAACTTGTATCCTCTGGAAGAGCAGCAAGTGCTTAACTGCTGAGCCAACTCTCCAGCCCCTCTTAAGTGTATTTTGATCAACTCAGAAGAACCTGCCCTTTGATGTTTTTCATTATGTCTGTATTTTAAAATTCTAAAAAACCTAAAGGGGCACATGTAACTTGGTTTAGAAGAGGCCTTCTCAATTTAAGAGTCTAAAATATGCTCATTGACTATATATAGTTACATTTCTTTTGCTTTTGTTTTAGTTTTCAAAACTGGGTGTGGTGATACATACCAGTAATCCCAGCACTTGTATAGGGTAACTGAGGCAGGAGGATTGCCCTAGGGTTGAGGCCAGCCTATTTTACCTGTTTCAAATACACATGCACACATCAAATTTTTCAAAGTATTCTCTGCACAAAACAGTTAAGCACTAGATTTGTGAATTTACTGCCTGAATTCTAAATTTCAGGAGGAATTATGGGTTGGTATGCATGTGAGGCACTAGATATGCATTTAAAAATGCCAATTTGAGACAGGTGTGGTGGTGTACGCCTTCATTCCCAGCATGTTGGAGGCAGAGGCAGGCAGATCTCTGGTGTGATCAAGGCCTGCCAAGTCTCCATAGTTTTAGGCCAGCTGGGGCTATGGGAAGAACCTGTCAATGCCCCCCTACCCCCCCTC